TGGCTTCTATGTTGTAAGTGTATATCTGTAGAAGAAGATTAAATACGACATTATGAAATGCTTGGCTACTGAATACTCTCTCTAGATAGATTATACCTGTGGGGGAACATTTCCTAATTATGCTTTTACAATATATTCCAGAATTTTGGTTCCAGAACAGATACTGTTTTCTGTGGTGTTTTTGACGGCCATGGTCCTTACGGTCATATGGTTGCAAAGCGAGTCAGAGATGCTCTTCCTTTAAAGCTAAGCACGCACTGGGAAGTTAATATAAAAAGTGAGGATGTTCTAAGAGAGATCAGCCTCAACAGAGGGAGTAGCCTATATCCTGAGGATGCTTCCCTTATCTCTGAGGAGTCGAGAGTCTCAATTGATATTGAAGATACTGAAAAGCACACAGAGGTGTTTCAAACGTTGAAGGAGTCATTTCTGAAGGCTTATAAGGTTATGGATAGAGAGTTGAGAAGCTATACCAATATCGATTGCCTCTGTAGTGGAACAACAGCAGTAACCCTAGTTAAACAGGTTCATTGTCATATTCAGAAAGTTGAAGCTAGCTGGATTTTGTCTTATTTTATTCTGAAGATGAACTATGTTATTTTGTTTTTTTGGTAGGGTAAGGATCTTGTTATTGGAAATATTGGGGATTCTAGAGCTGTGCTGTGTACGAGAGGCGACAATGATTCTCTTACTGCAGTGCAATTGACAGTAGATCTTAAGCCCAATTTACCAGGTGCATACATGACTTTGTCTTGCTGCCTGCATATTGACACTTCTCTTTTTTTAAAACTGTGTTGATCAACAAAATTACCACTCATCTTCTGTTCATTTAATGAACTTATCTATCTGCTGCTAAATTTTATGTGAGCTGTTCAGAGCAAAATTTTTGCAAAATAGCCTTCAGATTTGACAAGACACCATGTTGTTAATCTTAAACATTCATGCATCCCCGCCCCACAAGAAAAAAAGATTCTGTATTTAGCCCCTAAGTGTTGTATAGAATCTGTTTTTTCCTTCCTTTCTATAGAATCTGTTTTTTCCTTCCTGTGATGTATCTATCTTCTTCTTTTCCTTCCTGTTTTTGCCTTGTGCGGCTGTACACACTTTAGTTTTGCCGCAGTCAGCCTCTTTAGATTGATGATGTAGTAGGAAAAATGTAATTGCTAGTTAGTTGAGATAAGTTGATTATAGTCAAAACTGTAAACCTTCTCGTTCATTGGTTGAAGTGTTGTAGAAAGATTAGGATCTCATCTGTCAATGGGTAAGATTCCTTCTGAGGGGACTGGTTAAGCAGGAACTGCTAGTAAGATCATCTGCTTTTAGGCGAGTATGTCGATAGAGTAAAGTTACCGTACTTAGGGTCAAACTATTAATACATATATGAAATCAATCATTCAACTATTCTGAGGTTGCATTTATGAATCCTCTATATCAATTACACTCAATCGGCCATTTCTTTTAATACTCAATAAACTGTTTGTTAAGATAAACTAGGGGTTGTCTAAAAATAGGGTTCTCTAAATCTCACATATATCTCTACATTGACACAAAGATCTTTAGCCAAATTAAAAAGATCTTCTCGTGAACATGAGACACAATATAAGTGTCACCATAACAAGTAACCTTTTGTTCCAGCTGATTGGTTTCGCGCATATTGGATAATTTGCTTTCAATTTTTTAAAATCTCACATGTTCTTTTAGGGATTATAGGTTATCGAAGACAGTTTACTTCCATGGCTCCATGTGATTTTAGGTCTAAGTTCGTCCCCGAATACAAAGAAAATGTGTGACAAAGAAAAAACTAATCCATGATAGATAACTGTTGAAATTCTTGCTAAGCTGTCCCATTCTCATACTCATTTTCCATCACATGAGTCTCTTGTGATGTCTAGACAAACTTAAGCTAGTGAGCTTTTCTCTCCATTGAAGTAAGAGAAGACAGAAGGTTCCCCCACTGTTCTCGTAAAGTTTCAAGTTCTTTTTAGTTAAGCTTCTGTTGAAATCTTTATCAATTTTCTCTATATTTCTCTACGTCTTGCTTCTATGGTCCACAGATGCCTTCTTTTCTTAGAAGCATCAAGTAATCGAGCAAGTTTTTCGACCTCTCTTTGACGTGTGAAGTGATTGGTAATTATACCTCCTTTGTGTCTATGATTAATCATGTACTTCAACCACTCATGTTATGAACTTCTTTGACAAATGAGATACCTTTGGAAGGATCTAGTGTAAACATGTAAAACGAAGGAATGCGATACAGTCTCCTAGAAGTGGAAGGAAAAGACAAGTAAAAGGACCGGGAAATCTATTCCAAGGAGGGAAATTACTTTTTGAAGTTCTTTGACAAATGAGATGCTTTTGCAAGGATCTAGTGTAGCTGAATCCACATTTCTAGATCTTTGCTGGTAAATGCATTTTAGACCTGAAGGAACAGTTGCTTTTTTCAGGATAGATGAAATGCCATATGGTAGTAGGGTTATGGCATCCACGAAATGGTTACTGTAGAAAGCAGAATTCTTCTCCCTTTGAATAGGTGACTTGATTAATTTCTACTGATTCTCGTCTCACTATAGTGTTTTCTTAACTCTGCTTATCTAAACGTACAGCGGAGGCTGAGAGGATTCGCAAATGTAAAGGGCGAGTGTTTTCTCTTCATGATGAACCGGACGTTGCAAGAGTGTGGATGCCAAATAGCGATTCTCCTGGACTTGCCATGGCCCGTGCTTTTGGAGATTTTTGCCTCAAGAATTTTGGTGTCATCTCAGTGCCTGAAATTTCTTATAGGCGTTTATCTGAGAAAGATGAATTTATCGTTCTGGCGACAGATGGGGTAAGAATCTTGAATTCCTGCTTTTGGTATTTCTCGGATCCAACATTTATTTCGTCGCCAATCAAATTAGTTTGCTATTTCTGACAGATTTGGGATGTGCTTTCAAATGATGAAGTAGTGAGGATTGTGGCTTCGGCTTCATCCCGTTCATTGGCAGCTCGATCACTTGTTGAAGTAGCTGTTCGAGCCTGGAAAACTACATATCCAACTTCTAAAGTCGATGACTGTGCAGTTGTCTGCCTCTTCCTAGACTCAAACTCAAATAATTTCTCTACTGCTTCCATTACAAAAGACAATGACAAGACTGTAATGGGAATGAGCGAAGGTAGCAACGAGATGGATGTTGCACCTAGTCCACCTGCATTGAATCGCGTTGGTACTGTTCGAGAAGGTGAAGAAGTTTCAGCAGGCAGCAAAGAGGAAGCCTCGGAACAGGAAGAGTTGCTACCAAAGATGGGGGAAGAATGGTCTGCGCTCGAAGGGGTATCTCGGGTGAACACAGTGATGACATTACCAAGGTTTGTGCCAGACAAAGAAGAGAAGAAAGCTTCTGGAGGATCAAAGTCAAAGAAGAAATAGAGAGTAAAATGGTGAAGTGCCTGAGTCTGGGTTTATTTCTGTCCTATTTTCCATTTTATTTAGTTGTTATGATCTGTTTTTTATTGTCTCTTTTATTTACTGACGGGTAAGGTGATAAAAGAAAAACAGGGCCATTTCATGTTGTTCTGGGCTATATTAGAGTGTCTGGGGAGTCGTTCTTTCTCTCTCAAGTGTATGTAGAATCAGAAATTTTTGTACATCCAACTCGCGGTCTTCTAAATTTTTGGATACTAGCTATTTTCCTCCTGTTTTTTTCTTTTTCCTGTATCAAAATGTTGCAAGAGTTGTTATCATTGTTAAGTTGATAACAATGTATTGTACTCCAGCCTCTTTGGTGATTAGATGGACTTATAAAGATCACTAATCACAGTGAAGATTTTCTTTACTTAAGTGATAAATGTGTATATTAAGGATACATGCCTTGTATTTGTTGATTTGATATAAATGTCTTGCATTCATTGGTGTTGTATAAACATCGTCTCATTTGAAATGAAGACGCTTTTTCAATTGCAGTTGCCTTCGAGATTTGTAGCAACTTCACAATCCAATGAATTTTCTAAAATTGGATGGATAGGCTAACAAGGAGAGGGCTACCTAAAATCCATCAGTTTCAGCAAAATATATGCTTAAAAATTCCCATGCAACTTCCAGAATATTGGCTACGGCATTTCCTTGTTGGGAAAATGACACTGTATAGCCGCTCTTAAAACAATAGCCGAAAAAATGTATATTTTTTTTTTTGTGTATATATATATATATATATATATATATATATATTCTATATGTTATATACAAAAATTATACAAATTTTATACACTTTTTCGGTTACCGAATGTAAATAGTTTCTGGCGCGGGTTAAAAGTGATAGTACCCCATTTCTTGTTCAATATTATACTGCTATAAATAAGATTCATCTTTCTTAAGCATGAGGTCACAGGTTCAAGCCGTGGAAACAACCTCTTGCAGAAATGTAGGGTAAGGCTGCATACAATAGACCCTTGTGATCCGGCCCTTCCCGGGACCCTGCGCATTGCGTGAGCTTAGTGCACCGGTGTGCCTTTTTTTTTTCTTCAAGCAACTTTCTCCAGGAATGTGTGTGTGTGTATATATATATATATACATGCATATCTAGGCGGATGTAGTACTTTAGTTACGGGTTCATTTGAATAGGAGCTCTCCTTAGAGAATACTAATACTAACTTATAAAACCAGGTTAAATATATTTACTGTCTGTAATAGTAGGTAAGTACTTAGACCAGCTTCTATTTGAACTGTTCTTACATGTTTCAGCTGAGAAGAGAAACTGCTAATGATAGTTTCATCAGAAGTAACCAAGGAAAAGGATTATATGCCCAATGAAACATGTCGAAACCTTCAAATTTCTGATATTATGATACAAAAATGACCACCTGTACAGCTGTTTATGATATCACTTCAACAAATTATTCAGGATGCAAATGATTAACAAGAAGAATGTAAAAGCCTTCCTTGAATCCACAGTAGAAGCTGATGAAATATTGTGAGAAGCCACAGTATACGCGCTTCCAGCACTTCCAGAGCTTTCATATTTGAGTTGGATGGTTGAAGAGCCTGAAATTAACACAACAAATACTTGAGGAGAAGTCCAATGCTGAAAGAAAAATCTTCCAAGGAAATTATAAACAATGCACTGAGTATAGCATAACATTTCATCGTAATAACATGGAGTCTCTAAACCTGAGAAAATAGAAAGAAAGGAAGGCACTTTATAGCTAATATATGAAGATATTTAAAGGTATTCATATGCAGTAGAAGATTCTGCAAAATCCAAATAACTATGCAAAACATTGAAACATGAGGAAAGCATCAATATCTTCTTTCATTATAGAGTGCTAGTGAAGAATAGCACAACAACAACAACAAACCCAGTGTATCCCACAAATAGGGGGTCTGGGGAGGGTATTATGTACACAACCTTACCCCTACCTTATGCAGGTAGAGATGCTGTTTCCGGCAGACCCTTGGCTCCAAGCAAGCATGCAAATCACAACGAGAAAAAATACAGTAGTGTAAAAGTCAGGAAAGCATTAACAACAACTAGGAAGTAGAGCAACCAAAACACAAGCGAGACGCCTAAATCTCAGATAGAAGGGGCGTCTTATGAAATGAAAGGATGGATTGATTTCCATATGTATGTAGAAGGCCACGAATGATATTGGAAATCGATTCATTTCAATATGGAGTAGACTACAGAAGAAACACAATCAATTAACTATACTCACAGTCGTACTCAGTCCAACCAATGGTCTGGCTTTCGACATCATACAGAACTAGCTTGTTTGATAACACAAGATCTGCAACAAAATATTTGTCAAATAGCTATCAATAGTTTTATCAACTTAAGCTCAATTCTGAAAGCTGCACACTTTTTCGTGTAAATTATAATGTGTATCAGTGTATGGTGTTAATATTTCAAAGGATAAAAGAAAGGGATTACAGAAGAACATTGGATGCAAGTGATGAAGCAGAATGTATGACAGAATTATCATTCAATTCCACTCAGGCCTAGAAAAAGTATTCCAGTACTGCTACATCTTCAACCAATATTATCTTTACCTGTACTTTTGGGAGGTCCTATTGCCCTCTGACTATTTTAAAGTGGAATAAATACTACCCTTAGAGCTGGCGTCGTGTTAGCAATGTATGCACGTCCATCTAGCACGTGAGAAGACAAATGCAAGCCAAAATAAATAGCCTCTTAACACCATGTGTGCAAGAGATAGGAACTATTTTTTAAACTTTTTAGGCCCTTCTCCAAAAATTCCGCTCAAATCTGCCACCTCTGATACCACCAACACCCACGGCTGCCCTACAGCATCCCCTCTACGCCATAACCTGCTCAACCATCACTATCGCCACCGCCACCCTTCTCCAATCTGCTCCCTCCTCCGCTGTTTTCTCACTTTGTCCCACAGCCATCTCCCTTCTCTTTCTTCTGGCTTTCTTGGATCTGAACAAATTTCAGAAAAACGAAGGAGGCAGCACCCTAGGAGGAGCGGGCGATGCCGGCCACTGGAAATAGAGAGGACGATGTTATTATTTGATGATTAAGCATAAGGAATGATTACTTACCACATTACGTAGCGCAAGGCTCCCCCACTTGTGCATTGTTAATTAATTAAGTTAATGAGGAACTTTAACGAAAGGTTTCATCAGCTAAAGGGACTTGTTATGCAAATTTTCCCTATCCACAGCATTGACAGAGCATGGAGGACCTAATAGGCTCTTCAGCAGCCTCTCTAAGATTTTTCCATCATAGCAAATTAGCAATCATCATTAAACTCCAACACAACAGCTTTACCACAGCTTTAAGCATTTTATCAGATTTATAACTTTTAAACTTATTTTGGATTATGCATTCTTATCTATACTGTCTCTAATCCCTCAGCATTGCTGCAAGCTTGACCAACAACAAGATTTATTTTGTCCTACATTCATTCATATTCCTGAAATGTCTTATCTAGCTCATGCTTGCTGAAATAAGATTGGAATGGAATATCATCGAGCACGGTCAAGCTTAAGTTTCACAAACATTCTTCGATATAAATTGCAAGGATTTACTTCAATTTAGATGTGTTTCTCTTAAAAGTAAGAGAAGGTGTCAACTGATACCTCCTAACAGAGTTATTGCTATTCCATCCTCTGCCTGCATTCCTCCACTGTCTTGCCAACCAATACACCATCGACTCTCCTGCAAAATTGAGACCAGAGCAAAACTGAGATGAAATTCTCCATGAGGAGAAGGGACATATTTCTCTGCACCTTAACAACACAAGGCCATCTTTTTGGCCCTATCCTCTGGTACGGACAACATAAATATACATCCAGACGTATACATAAATAGAAGTGTAGAATAAAACATACACAAATATACCATATAGATATAAAAGAGACAAATTCTCAGAAAAATAGCGGGGTTGAACCTAACATGATTAACCTAAGAGACAAATCTGAAGGCCTATATATATATATATATATATATATATATATATATATATATATATATATATATTTATATATATATATATATATATATATAT